CAGAATCTAGTCGAATTTCTTCTTTGCCAGCAAGAGTGAGCTTACAACCCTAACTATGATTCTATTAATGAAGAGCTTGAGTTTATAGTAAAAAAGCATAAAACATACCAGAAGTTGCTCCAGAAAGCAGAAATACGCAAGCATGCTGACCAGGACAAGAATTGGTATATCCTGCCAGACCCTGTCATGCATCATGCATGGAACAAGGAAAAATCCAAAATCAAACTCGAATGGTAATAGTTCAAGTGTCAACAAAGAGCATGATACCAAAAGTTTCTAGAAAATGTGCCGAGTGATATGTTTGACTCATTTTTTTTCTATGCGCCTTAACAGGAGTTGTAGAAGATGTGTGAAAATTCATTTTATCAGAAGTGCAACTCATATTAAAAGTGAAAATGAAGAACATAACAAAAAGAAACAAAACATGGTGAATTAACGGAGCGTAGTTTAGTCAGCCATCAAGTAACCAGAATCACTAACATATCAATGTGATGATATCTGTGAACATTTCATAGATACAACAGCATAACACCTGTCTTCTCTCTTCATTTTTACTAGGGAGGGAGGTGGTTGTGTGTAGTTTTTCTTTTAGCAGAAACATTATTTGGTGAACAGACCACATGCATTTCTTTTAAATTTGGAAACATGGAGCCTTAGGACTCTTTTACAATGAGTCATAACTACGACGCCATGCTGGGAATGTGGGATCATTATGAACGTCAGAAAAGTTGGGACTTGCCTGTAACGAGGAACTTCCCTATGCTCCATTATTGTTGGTGGTCGTCTAGTAACAGTTTGAGGATTGTGTATTTTGAGTAGTGTTACAGGTAAGTTTCGGACATCCTGCTTGCAGACATCACAGGTCTTGTTCCCTTTAATGCTAAACCACTTTACTGCACAGTCTTTGTGAGCAAGCGCCAGCTCTCCTTTGCAGCTGCACTCCATTTTAAGAGAATCACCACCTTCTGCGAGCTCAACCAAACAAATCCTGCAAACTGCTTCTTCTTCGGGAATATCCTCACCAGAATCTTCAGTAGCTGAAGGCCATCATAAATTACAGATATATGTCTTAGATTATACAAAAATTTAAGAAGCACTCAAAGTGGGCTTAGTAATGCATGTGGATATCCTAGTGGATAGGTTGTTGAGTTTCCACCCATGCGTCTCGGGTTCAAAACTTCCTCCTCCCCTAAATTTTGTAATAGTTTCGAATCCTCCCCTTCCCTTAATAATAATAAATTTAAAAAAAAAAATGGGAAAAGTAAATTAATAAATCTGTAAGAATTTGATAAAAGTTAATGGTTCAAACTTCAACCGAGCAAGTTTGAAAACCATGGCTTTGAATTTTTCTTATTTTAAAACTACGAATGACATTCCCAGTTGCAAGTGAAGGAACATAAACCAATAGAAAGTCTATTGGAGTATTATATGTACTATACTTCCGGAGTTACTTGTAGGAGAGGTTTGTGAATATTATCATTCTCTTACTAGCCAAATTTTGACACCCGTAGGAGTATCTATGCAGTAATCGTGTCTGTAGGAGAGGTTTGTGAAGATGCTCATTCTTCCTTCCAGCATGATTATTGCATATAATACTCGAACAAAAGTATATTAACCATATATACTCAATCTCCTAGAAGCCAAAATTTTCAAATTCTTTTCATGACAAGAGGTAGCATTTACCGGTTTCCAGTGCTGGGTCAGCATTTGGTGAGGCACCCTCAACTGCTGAAGGACGTGGAGTTGCTGAAATTACACGGATCATGCCTCCAGAATCCATCCGCCTTAAACTTCTGCCTGTTATATTTACTGGAACTGAGAATGAGCGGGACATATGATGCTTAGCTTCAATTCTCTGAAACAAAATTCATTTTTAGTGTGACACAAGAATTTCTAAACTGGGCACTGGTAAATGAAAACGGTAAATTAGAATCACTTACAGGATAATCAGAATGACTCTCCATATGTCTTCCCTGCCCAGTCTCAGAACCCAGATTTGCACTTGGTGTAACTGGTAAAGAATGTGTCCCTTTCATTGATGTAGACAAGAAAACCTTATTAAGAGAGAAAGAACGCGAAGTAGAAGGCTTTTCCAAAGGACTATCTGATGGGGGGGTGTCCGGTACAATGAGAATGGTCTTCTCACCATCCAGGGGCAAATTTTTCACCCTAAAGCTTTTTTGAGGAAACAGATTTTTCACCGTTGATTTGATCTTAGCTGAATGTGGCCTAGGCGGCAGTCCAACTCTACTAGAACTTGGACTTGGCGCAAAGGGAATATCAATTCTCGTAAAAGTGGACAAACTACTTTCCAGTGTCCTTGCCGGTATTTGCAATGAGGAAAGGTTTGGTCGTCTAGACTGCTGAACCAACAAGGTTTCTTCATTCTTTAACTTTTGATCATGAATCTGCAAAACCATCAAACGATTCCATCGCTACGCAATTCAACAATGAGATCGAAAATTTATAGTGTCCAATCACTTCACCATAAGTAAATACATGGACAACAACTAAAATTAAAAACTTTATACGATTATATCCACATCTGAACTGTCGAGAAACCGAAGTCCGATATGCTAAAAACAAGAAAGCAATGTAATTTGTGCATATAAGTATATAACTCAAAGTGGTTTTCACTAATGGAAGTCATGGAACCCAAATTTCAGCAACAAAGAACCAAAAAATCATCTTTTGAGAATAACCCTTTTAAAGTTATCATTTTCCAATTCAGAGTAACTAGACAAAGGCAAAATACTAATACTTTGTTTTGTTACCCAGAAAATGCAGGAAACAAACAGAAAAAATCAAAACTTTACTTCTGCAACTACTACATAGTAAAATCTGGGACCTGAAAATTGCAAAAACTCACCTGGGACTGCTCAGAGGAGCTCTCCAAAGTCAATTCCTCACCCTGCCGAAGCTCGGAAGCTGAATTCTCCGTCATAACCAGAGAACTTTACCAAAAATGGAACCCAAAAAACCCTAATCTGGAAAACTGAGAGAGTCTGCTTTCAGCTGGCAGTCACCAAGATTGAGCATAAATTGAAAAACACAGAAAACAGTGGCAATGACGGAGACAACAAATTGCGATCGGACATGAATCAAAATTATCAAATATTAAGTCAGATTTTGTTCCTTTTGGATTTGGGAACTTTTAAATCGTTTTTGTCTTTATAATCCCCGCCAACGTAATCTGCGTGCTCAATGCTGGTGGTGGTGGATTCTCTTTTCTGACTTTACCCTTGCTTCTGCTTTACTTTACTACTTGATTTGTTTAGTTAATTAATTAAGCATGATTAGCTGCTTTAATTTAACTTGTTAAGACAAACAAAGGCTTAGGACAAAAAGGATGACACATCAAATAGCTTTTTATGGGTCCTGTTTTGAGTTTTAAATTAGAAATGTTTTTTTTTTTTTAATAAAAAAATTACCTATACTAGGGAAGGGTGAACTTAACTCCACAATGGGCTAGTAATATATGGTTCAACCTCTCATTTGACGATAATTGAATCTAAGATATCTCACTTACAAGTAAATAGAAATATCATTACCCTGTAGTACTAAGTAGTGAAATATTTTAAGTTTTTAATTAGATATGTTTACTCTTTTATTTGAAGTAAGACTTTTCAGCTCTTCATTTTGGTTTTTGGATAATTTGGTTTCTAAGTTTGTCCACTTTTGATCCTTCAAGGAAAAATTTATTAATATTCTCGTTAAATTATCACGTGAACGATCATGTGATCACCTTTTTATAGGTATTCGCATTCACTTAGCGAGCACAATAACAGATTTTTTACAAAATAACTAAAATATTTTATGGTGAACAAACTCATAAACTCCTTCTATCAATTTTCATATTATATTCGATTGTCTGGTAAAGTGAAAATTAAATTATTACTTATCAAAGATTTCCCTATGTCATAATAAATCAGAGTTTGAGTTTGAAGAGGGGAAGGAATCATCGAAACAAGCGTTCCATTTAAAACAAGATCATATTAAATTGTACAAAGAAATGAATTCTATTATTTGGTTGATAAGAAATCAAACAAATGTTAAAAAGACTCTTTTAAAAGTAAAACTCTTCAGGAATTTTTTGTACAATATTTTATAATATTGACACGAGAATCAACGTTAAACAGTGAAGTGACAGAATCCATGAAGAGTCTCACTTTGAAAGAAACTCTTTAACATTTCTCTCTATGAATATGAGTATAACTAATGTGAGTTTAAGTTCTATTAAGAAACGAGAGTAGTTTAGAATAGTTTATTGTCTTGTTAAAAAATAAATCATTGATTAGCAATTTCTTTAAGAGAGTTTAGGCTTAATGATGAAGAGTTCTCAAAATATGTGCCCCACCCGAAATAAGGCTAGAATGGGTTTTAATAAAGGGAACTTTAACAAAAAGCACCCGGTACTGTTCACTTTAAAGAAAAATCATATTTTTACACTAAAAAGTCAATCATGATACTATTCACTTTACCCTTTATTTTGTCCTTATCATTAAAACTCAAAGTTTTCAAGCCATTTTCATTAGTTTTCATTTTAATAAAATGTAATCTTCTAATTTACGATAAAAGAAGCTAATTTGTATAACAGACGTAAACAATGTCATTAGCGACCGAGTTAAACCGTATATGAAGACTAGATTATTATTATTTTGTTTTTAACAAACGATATTATGTAGATTAAGGAGGAGGGGGTGAGTTTAGCCTCACAATAGACTAGCAATAATATTGTTCAAATTCGTATTCGGCAATAATCGAACCTAAAACCTCTCACTTACAAGTAAACAAAAATACCATTAAACTGCAGTACTAAGTAGCTGCAAACTACATTAATTAGATTTTACTAAAAAATCGTTTATTCGTCAAAGAAACTCATGCAAAATTCTTCGGCCCACGGGTTCATAAAGTAGAGGCCCAGCCCATGTAAGCTAGATACAAACCCGCGCTTTCTAGCCCGCTCCAAACATTTCGGGTCAGAGTCGGTACTCCTCCGAAACCCGGTTCACACAATCACGTCGATCCTAGATCGACCCATTTTCCAGCGCCACAGCTGAATCAAAAGCAAAGCTCCAACTCTCAGAGACAGAGAGAGAGAAGAGAGAGAATCCACTCTCCAAATTGTCAGATCTCCTCCTTCCAACTGTTTCTCCCATTCATTACTCCAACGCAACGAGCTCGAGCTTAATTTGGCAGCCATGGATAAGTCAAGCACTTTGGAATACATCAACCAGATGTTCCCCACAGGTATGTCTCTCTCCTCCCTCCCTCTCTCTCTATGTGTTTGTATATATATATTTATATGCGTATATATATCTGTTTGTGTTGTATAAGCAGAATGTGTAGGTGTTGAACTGACTTTTTGAATGCTTTGAATTGTGCAAAACAGAGGCGTCTTTATCTGGTGTGGAGCCGCTAATGCAAAAGATACACGGTGAGATTCGGCGAGTAGATGCTGGAATTTTAGCCGCGGTTCGCCAGCAGGTCGTCGCCTTTGCCTTTTGAGCTCTGAGCTCACAACTGCAATTGCACGTTTTTTTTTTGTTTTTTTACTAGTTTTGTAGTTTTTGATGGATTGGCTGGTGTGGTTTTTCAGAGCAATTCGGGCATGAAAGCAAAAGAAGATCTTGCTGCCGCTACACGTGCCGTGGAGGTCTGTTCTTAAACTCGGTTCATAAGCATTGATGCAATTTGCAGAATAAAAGGGTTGTAATTGATGTAAATGGATTTTCTTTGGCTTTTAGTTTTTTTTCTTTTGTTTTATTTATTTACTTTGTGATGCTCTAAGGCAGGAACTCATGTATAAAATCCGCGAAATTAAAACGAAAGCTGAGCAAAGCGAGACAATGGTTCAAGAAATATGTAGGGATATTAAGAAGTTAGACTCTGCAAAGAAGCATATAACAACGACGATTACTGCTCTTCATCGCCTAACCATGCTTGGTTAGTTCCTCGTTTATGATTTTTACAGTGACGATTGATCAAGATTTATAGATCAACTGTTTGACCCTGATTAGAAACTGATGATGAATGCCTTTGCCTTTATATTATTCTCATGGGAGTGCACTTTTTTCTTTTTTGGTAACATGGCAGTCTCTGCTGTTGAGCAGCTTCAAGTAATGGCTTCGAAACGACAATATAAAAAGGCAGCCGCACAGTTGGAGGTAAGGTATCTCCTAGTATACAGTGTCATTTTACTGTAGGTAAAACAGGAGCTTACTTTGTGACTCCTTTTGTTTGATGTTCTCAATTATGCTTTGGTCTTTTGTAGCATCTGGTTATTGTTACACTCTATTTAAGCGATTGGAAGATCCTCATAAGAAGTGCATTTTTTTTATGCATTCTGTGTTATTTTCCTTTTGTTAAATCTTTGGGAATAGAATAGTATTTTTCGTGATACGAACTTTTGCATTATACAAAGATGATTGAAAAGTAACTGCTAGTTTTAGAAGATTAGTGTTATATGAATTTTGAGAAAGTGCTTCATTTTGATTCGAGTTTATGATGCGTATCAGGCAGTGAACCAGTTATGTAGCCATTTTGAAGCTTATCAGGACATTCCGAAGATCACAGAGCTGAGGGAAAAATTTAAGAATATCAAACAAATACTAAAGTCGCACGTGTTTTCTGATTTCTCAAGGTATGTGTTTGAAATAATATGCAGTGCCGTATATACAAATTAATGCTTAAGCAAACCATTAAAAGGATAGATCATTGAACAACTATTGATACTAGGTTTTGGGGTTTAGTAATTATAGCATTTGGTCATATTCTTTATTCTTTGTTAGGATATGTGTGCCTAGAACTATATAATGGAGTTGTTTGTGTATGACTATTAGTTAAACTGCTGCAACTATAATGTTTTTGCTGTCTTTGACTCTTTAGTATCCTTAGTATCTTCTCTATTGCGGTTTCTTCTCAGCTTAGGTACTGGAAAGGAGACGGAGGAAACAAATTTACTTCAGCAGTTATCTGATGCTTGCCTGGTTGTTGATGCTTTGGAGCCATCTGTGAGGGAAGAACTAGTAAATAACTTTTGCAGCAGGGAGCTTACTTCATATGAGCAGATATTTGAAGGAGCTGGTGTGTGCTCATGTTTGATGTTATTCTTAGCAGATGCTTTCAGTATGTATGAAGACTTCACTTTAATTGTCCTTAATTTTGAATTTCATCTTGTTTTCTCTATTTGTAGAACTAGCTAAGTTGGATAAAACTGAACGAAGATATGCATGGATCAAGCGTCGTATGAGAACAAATGAAGAAATTTGGAAAATCTTTCCTAATTCATGGCATGTTCCTTATCGGCTCTGTATTCAGTTCTGTAAAAAAACAAGGTACAATCTACTTCCCTCTGATATCAAAGTTTGTCGATAGCTTCAATTCCTTTTCACAGAGGGTGGAATTTTCTTAGTTTTCCATTTACATAAAATGTAGCCATCAACTTCTTTAAATACCCAAAAAGAACTGTTAGCATTTGGAACTGTCGTTCCTATTGCCGTCCTTATGATATTCAAGGTTTCGACATGGTGAACCAAGAAAAAATCTGAACATTGTAGTGTTCTCTGTGCTGGTGGTCACACGTGTAACTAAGTAGAAGGGAAGGCAAGTGATGGCATCACACATAGAGATAAAATACATGTTTCTTCCTTTCCTCCATTAACGTTTTGAGATTTTAGTATCCTTAATATTTTTTTTTTTATCAGAGGAGAAGAAAAATGTTTGAAGCAAAATTCCATAAAAGACACAACCTAGTTTACTTTTGAGGTTGACATTTTATTTGTTTCCTTTTTTGCCGTTTACTTGACTCTTTGGACATAGGGGGTTCTAGTTTACATCTGATTTCACCAGAGAATTCAAAGAAACTTTTTTCTTTCTTTCTTTTTTTTTTTTTTTAGTTTTTGAGAATGAATTCAAAGAAACTTAAAAAGTTGAAAACTTTTTTGTATTGTTCTTTTTTCAGAAAGCAGCTGGAAGATATACATAATAATCAGAAAGAAAATCCTGATGTTGGCATATTATTGTTGGTAAGCCGTATTTCTTATTTATGTTTTGGATTGATTTTACATGTAGTTGAGGAGTGATATTTGGTGCTTCTTTAGTTTGTCTTAGATTAGTTTGACTCTTGTCTATTCTTGTAGAAGCAGCACAAACAACCTACGCTCAGATAAACCCAATTTCAACTTTTTTTGAGGCATTTGAATCAAATATCATTATGTTATCATGTCGTCTTGCACTATTTTAATCCACTTCCTTTTTGGCTTAGGTATAAGTGCAGCCATCCGTCTCTTGTTGCAGCCAGTTATTCTCTTCAATTTGTTATTTCAACTCCATATCCATATGATGTGATATCATTTGTTTTGCCTCTTGAAAATAACTGGAAATGGCCATTAAACAAGTGAGAGATCCTTTTTTTTAGAAACCACGCGAAAGATGTTGAACCAATCAGCAGAGTACAAAAGCTTAGTTTAGTTTTTTCCTTAAGAATATTGGGTACATCTGTTGAAACCTTTAAACAACCCATGAGCGATATAGTGCATGCATATGTAATTTTTTAGGAGCCACATGGATCATGCATTGCTTGTCTTCTTTAGATCTTCCAGTCGCTAATCTGTATGGGTGCTCTCTTTAATGAATCAATGAAGTTTATACTAGGGAAAAAACAATAGCAAGAGCAAACTGAACCAAACCCAATTATGGTCGTGATTGGATTGTCTGTGCAAGTTTGGTTAGATCTGCCTAATTGGACTTCATATGGGAAACTATAATCATTAAGCATTTCCTTACCTCAAGTGGCACATCTATATTATGGTTTTTGTAAGGATATGGTTGTGATAAATATAACGCAATAATTTTTATTGTTGTTGACATTTTATATCCAATCTCATGGCCTTCAAAACGTTCTCATTTGTTGGTTTTTTTAATGCTTTGACTGCTGCCTATAGGCACTACAGCGAACTCTTGAATTTGAGGATGAATTGGCAGAGAAATTTGGTGGTGGTACTCGAGGCAGGGAGATCGGAAATGAGATTGAAGAAATTGGTAGAGGGGAAAACTCTAGTCAAAGTGCCTCAGATATTAGAAAGAAGTATGAAAAGAAGCTTGCTGCACATCAGGAAAGTAGCACAGAGGTATGGATGTTATGTATTGCTTAATATGGTTGAAAATTCACAATGTGAATTCCCTATACCAGCAAGTTAATAAGCTCTCCTGATTTTCATTTTCCAGGAAAAGGATAAAGAGTTATCAGCTCCTGCAGCTGGGGTAAATTTTTTTCTTCTACATGTATTCTTTCATAATAAGTAACCTCGTAATATATATGAAATGAGCGATTAATGTGTGTATAATTAGATTTGACTTTTCTTGTATGTCATTCCTGTATATTTTCTACGTTACCTATATCATACCATAATGGTGACTCTTATATAGTGAGATTGCTTGAGTGTGTGTTGAAAATAATTTTAAGCAATCCATGTAAAGTTATATCAAGATGTTGACTTGTTGTATCCTGGTTAAAAATTTGGGGTTGTCACTTTGGTATAAGATGACTAAGATATCATCATGTTTGCAGTTACAGTCTATTATTATGGTCCTCTTGTATTTTAGTGCCAAGTCTATCTTCTCATACATATAATTTCTGAGAATTACTTGTACTGTTTGATTTGGCAGTTCAACTTCCGTGGAATCATTTCATCTTGCTTTGAGCCTCACTTGAATGTTTACACAGAACTAGAAGAGAAGACACTGATGGAGAATTTGGAGAAACTTGTTCAGGTAGAATAGATCTATTACTTCTACAACAAATGTTCAATAGTTTGCTAGTGTCTTTTCCCATTTGATTTAGGTTTTGTTTTCATCTTTCCAATAGGAGGAAACATGGGACATTGAGGAGGGAAGTCAGAATAATGTTTTATCAAGTAGCATGCAGGTAAGCACATTTTCCTACCGTCACTTTAGAAGTTTAGTGTTGCAGTTAATGAGAATGACTAGAATAAGACTGAGTGCCTTTGATTTGGCCCCAGGGTGTGTTTCCACTGTTCTCAGTCACTCTTAGTTTATTGATGTCATTCTTTAACTTATTTATGTGATATGAACATATAAAATGTTATTCAATACTCAAATCGTTATATTCTTGTAGATCCTTTATTTGTTTCAAGAAACTTTTTTAATTCAGGACACTGAATTCTTAGAACCATGCCTGAGAATCTTATATGGCTAAATTTTCTTTAGGTTATGGTTATTTCTTTAATGATGTTAATAATGTTGACTTGGTTGCATGTTTTGGTCTTGCAGTTGTTTCTTATAATCAAGAGGAGCTTAAAGAGATGCAGTGCTTTGACAAAGAACCAGACATTATTTAATTTGTTCAAGGTACTTTATTGAAGTTCCTCGCTTAATATCGTAATTGGTATCGACACACATAGTGCATATAATATTACATATCCATAAACAAAACTCTATTGTGGATGCCTAGTGATATTAGGCCATCATATTTTGTTGCAAGACTATTCTACTTCAACCACCTTCAAACGTAGAAGAAAAATGCATGTTTCTTCCTTGCGACTTTTTTTTTGTTCAAATTTCTTCCTTGTGACTTGAACTGTACAAGTAAATAGATATTTTTAAATAATCAGATATGATGTGTCTTTCCAAGTTTAGGTGTTTCAAAGGATTCTCAAAGGATATGCTACCAAGCTTTTTGCAAGAATACCTAAAGGTGGTACAGGAATTGTTGCAGCAGCAACTGGTATGGATGGACAGATAAAGGTATAAAAGACCAATTTTAAGCTTCATGACTATTTCACAAAATTCTTGTTATTCTGAATAGGTGCTAATTTTCATTTATGCTTAAGCAGACATCTGACAGAGATGAAAAGGTGATTTGTTACATTGTCAACTCGGCAGAATACTGCCATAAGACGGTAAGCAGTTTTTTGGAGACATGCAACTGCTCTGACTTTTGAGTGTTAGCTGAATTCCTATCTGCGTGTGAAGCTGTAATGCCTCGTCTCAACTAAAACTTACAGCAGATGCTGTTTTGAGAAAGGGGTACTATGTCCGATGGGAATTTCTGGATAAATTAGAACTAGATGATTCTTTTTGTCTAATGTATTTTCTTATCTTTTTGCATTACAAAAGGTAGAAGCTAACAAGGGCACTGATTAAATTAATGATTTACATTACATTCTGATTGTAGGGTGTCTGACACACATACCTCCATAATAACTTGAGTGAAAAATGAATGCACGGCTTATTGTATGCATCACCGACTCCATTAGTATGTTGCCATAATGTGTCGTGTGAATCTTGTTATCTTGATCAGCTTATAAATTTTCACATGAGGTGTGAAACATATGTGCTCGTAATTATCATAAAAAAAACTTGTAATTACCATGTACACTGAATTCCGATGGAAATTGTTGTCAGTACTTGGTGGTTTTTCAGTTTTCTATCTGAGTTAGTTGGTATTGCATGTCTTCTTTCTGAAATCACTGTGAGGTGTGATTAATTTATGATTAGCATTGAATCTGGCGTTCACATGATTTATGTATGTATGTATATGTGTGTGTGTGTGTGTGTGTGTGTGTGTGTATGCATAAACAACTATAGTACAAGAATGAAAACTATTTTACATTCTTGATAATTTATGTTTAATTATTTGCAGTCTGGTGAACTGGCTGAAAGTGTATCCAAAATAATTGATACTCAGTTTGCTGATGGGGTGGATATGTCGGAAGTGCAGGTATAAGCTATTTTATAAGTAGCCTAATGCATTTTTTTTTTCTGTTCATTTTCTACAAGAGTTGTGCAATCGTGCAGGATGAATTTTCAGCCGTTATAACAAAAGCATTGGTAACCTTGGTGCATGGCCTAGAAACTAAGTTTGATGCTGAAATGGCTGCAATGACACGAGTTCCATGGGCTACGCTTGAAAGTGTTGGTGACCAATCAGAGTAAGCTAGCATTAATCTAGATTCTGCTCCTTTACATCAAATACACACTTTCTACAAATGACTAAACCCACCGTTTTGCAGGTATGTTAATGGCATAAATATGATCCTTGCTAGTAGTATTCCTATACTTGGAACACTTCTCTCACCAATTTACTTCCAATTTTTCTTGGACAAGGTAGTACAAGGGGCTGACGTGTTTTATGTTATATTTTTTACCATAGATCTTAGTCTTGCTTCCCAAGGTTCATGAGTCATTATTTATTTCTATAATTTTATTTTTCTTTCTTTTATTGATATGACATGCTTTTTGCAAGCATTTTAAAGTCGTGTAGCGCCATCCTTCACTCAGTTATCTACCTTATACTTAACACTAAAGTCCGTTCTGAACATTTTGCTAATGTAGTTCTAATCTCTTGACTTCATCTGTGCAGCTTGCATCATCTCTTGGTCCGCGTTTCTATACTAACATTTTCAAATGCAAGCAAATATCAGAAACTGGAGCTCAACAAGTAGGGACTGCATTCCTAATAATCGCCTCTGTTTCCTTTTAAACCTGATTTTGTTTATTTTAAGAGATGAGAACAAGTATATATAACCGCTTCACAAATGAGAGTTGAGGGATATATACCGGGGATTTCCCTCGATTCTTGAATTCGAAGTAGTTTAAATCTTACCTTGTGATAGAAATCAATCAAACTTTCATCTTGAATTATTATATGTTTATCTCTCTAGTTTAGGGTATCTTTCTTATACATGTATCAAATGTATATCTTTTTTCTCCAAGCAATTTTATAGTTTATATCTGAAGTGAACTTCGTGATTGATTCATGTGATTAATAAAAATGCTTTGGATGCTATTGCAGATGCTACTGGATACTCAAGCTGTAAAGACAATTCTTTTGGAGATACCATCCCTTGGTCACCAAGTGAGTGAATTGTTGATATATGTTTATAGTTACGAGTATGATCAGAACTATAAAGTACAAGTAGCCCCTTCCTTGTTTACGGCTATTATGATCCTATTAGTGTCACACTCCACCTAAAGTATCATTCCAGGGTTGAAAGCATGAAAATCATTTCTTGATTCCTACTCATAAGTGCCCGTGATAGCTTTCTCGTCATAATTGACTAGTTATTTTTCTTAGCACACAAATCAAACCTGTTAACAGATCAATATAATTTCTTCAAACAGACTTCACGTGCTGCTAGCTATTCGAAATTTGTAAGCCGGGAGATGAGCAAAGCTGAAGCACTTCTGAAGGTAGGTATCAGTCTATTGGTGCTCTTTCTGGCAGCCTCTGGTTTCTTTTCAGAAGTAGGTTTATCTCTTTTTTGCATACAGGTCATTCTGTCGCCAATTGATTCTGTTGCGGATACATATCGTGCGTTGCTACCAGAGGGAACGCCCATGGAGTTTCAGAGAATTTTGGAGCTCAAGGTGGTCATCAACTTCTCCTGCCTTTTCACATCCATTCATTTTTCACATGAGACATTTTTTCTTTCCATTCATCAATTCAAAGTTCTTAAGAAACTAGAGGAGACTGACGTGCAAGCAGACGTTGAATTTTAGCGCATTTCTGTTCTGTTCATACTATTTTGAACAAAAGGAAACTGCAGATTTTTACCACTTCAAGAGTTGGAACAAATGTTTACTTTTCAAAAAGAGTTACGAGTTGGATAATCCGGTTAATTCAATGTATGTTTCACTGAATTTGAGTATGAATGTGCAGGGTCTTAAGAAAGCAGATCAGCAAAGCATACTAGATGACTTTAACAAGCATGGCCCGGGAATCACAAAACCTGCTCTCCCACCCCCGGCTGCCCCAACTATCCCACTCCCAACTGCCCCCGCAGCTGCTCTGATACCAAATCCTACTTCAGCCGCCCTTATTGCATCCAGAGACGATGTGCTAACCAGAGCAGCTGCACTCGGGCGAGGTGCAGCCACAACAGGGTTCAAGAGGTTCCTGGCGTTAACCGAAGCTGCAAAAGATAGAAAAGACGGGCCTTTCAGAAAGCTCTTCAACGCATGACAACATTTATATCCTATAGAAATGTAAATCATGTACTGGTTCTTACCTTGTTTCTCTTTTCATTTTTTGTATTGCTAATCTCGTGTCGCTTTCGGAGGGAATTTTTGTAACACAAAATATCGTATTCAAAATCTCGCAATGGTCAAGTAGAATTAGATTAGTGCTGTACACTTTTTGCTATTTTTGGCTTTGGCGTACAGTACGATACGAAATTCCAATCAATTTGAGAGAAGCGTGTCCAAAATTTGTAACGTGAATACATGGTGTCATCTTATTATTATAAACCTCAAATTACTGTCCTTAATTTTCCATTCATTTTGTTAACCCGAATTACGTCTAACATTTTATTGACCCGCAGTTTTCACTTTGTTGGAAGAGTAACTTTAAAACATATTTTCCTGAGTAGTCCGAAAAATGAACAGTGAAGAATTACACTAAAAAATACAGGTGAATATTGACTCAAAAATCGAAATGGTGATTACTGTTCAAAAGGATTTCGGCTGAAGTACCGAAGACAAACCCGGTGCTTTGAAACTTAAAAGAGGGGACGCTGTAAAAGAGAGATCTGAAATGCTGATCAATCACAGCTCATAGCCACATTAATTAATCCGAACATATTTTTCCAGTAAGATATGATAATCCTTGTCCATGGGGGGCGTTTTATGGGACTTCGTAACCAAACACTGCCAAGTACAGCCACTAATCTCAAGTCTCAAGGATTAAGACAACCCAAATAAACAACAAAAAATAGTAGCGTCAACATAATAATACTAAAAAGATACATTACATTTTATGAGCCCTCTCATCATCCGAATACGATGACTTGACTTTCGTTTCATACTCTAATTTATAAACTTAATAATATAAACAGAATAAAACACCTATTGTTGCTTCCTCTAACTTCGGGTGGTATTGCAAGAACAATTATTCGCTACACGCCCCCCCTCTAACTTCGGTTCATGAAAGCAAATAATTGTTCTTGGTAATTCTTTCCTCCTGGGTTCCGTATCTTCCTAACTGGCATTGCAAGACAGACGAGTCAGTGAATCGTAAGCATTGTTCACCCAATACCACATGGGAATATCTCAATTAAAAGAAACCAACCTGAGTCGGTAAATGTATGGGATAGCAATAAGAAATACGTAAACAGACTTACCATTGAATAAAGTTCGAAGGGTCTTCTAGCGTTTTGTTCATCATCAAAACTTGTCATCCCCAAAGCTGCCAAAACGGCTAGAATTATTGTTCCTAGAACCACCAGAACGATCAGAGCTACCAAACCCTCCGAAATTACTTGAACGGTCAGAACTACCAAAACCACCTGAACGGTCAGAATTACCGAAACCACTTGAACGACCGAAACCTGAGTTACCAAAGTTTCCTCCGCGGTTTGAGCTAGATCCGGAAAACCCACCTCCAGATTGAGAATCACCATAGGAACCAAAACGACCGGGACGAGGTCCACTAGATCTACCCATCTGACCAGAAGAATCACCATAGCTACTGGAACGACCAAACCCACCAGAACGGCTAAAACCTGGTCCTGATGGACCACCAAATCGACTACCCTTTGTGAATCGATCTCTACCCATGTCCGGCATCATGTCTATACTTTTGCTGTCAACAGCAATCCGGGGAAGCTGGTCATAAAATAGTAATCATATAATCAGTCTGGGATGCTAGTACATACACAAAACCAGACATTTTCTCGGAGAAATATATATAATAGAATTTTTCGGTTATCTAAGCATGCAAAATTTTGCGAAGCTCGCCATACTATACCGGAGAGCACCATGTCAGACCTCCTTTAAGCTTCGACTCAAACTAAGAATAAAATCACATGAGCAGAAAGCATGCTCGTGAATCCACACAAACATTTTAGAGGAAACACAGATCTTTAATGGGAACATCTATTTGTTTCTATCAAATGAGTATCATTCAATTACCCAAAAGCACATGATAATCAAAGTCAGAATTGTGTTACTCTCAATGCCTTGAACTATGAACAGTGTCCAGCCTAAAAATAAATGGAAGATGCATAGATAAAAAAACTTCATCTTTACCTCCGTAAATTTGCATCCTACTTCTCTCTCAATAGTCCTAACAGCCCTGGATTGATCCTGTGTGTAAACAAGAATAGCCCTTCCTTTCTTCCCAGCACGACCTGTTCGGCCAGACCGGTGAACAAATATTTCTGGATTATTTGGCAGCTCATAATGTATCACCTAAGACCAAGAAAGCGAAGAAAGTCAGTCCCACTCCTTTTCCTTAATTCGAATCCATAACATTATCACTGCCAAATGCAGTGAAAAACCATATATGGACCTAACCAGAGCATTAAAAGCTTTAATCAAGTCATGAAAGCTAATGAAAGGGAAGAGAAAGAGAGGATGTTGTAGAAACTACTAGCTTAAAGATCGTAGTAGTACATTTGTCCAGTGACTATAAACTAGGGCAGACCTACACAGATTAATCATGAAACTAAATCAAAAGTAAACAGTTAAATAAATCTCACCAGATCAACATTGGGTACATCAAGCCCACGAGCAGCAACATCAGTGGCAACTAAAATATTGAAATTCCCATCTCGAAAACCTGCAAGGGTCCTTTCCCTCTGGCTTTGTGAAATATCCCCATGCAAAGCCTCGCATCTAAAGCTTCTTGACATGGCATACGACAATCGATCAGCATCACGCTTTGTCTGAGTGAAAACAATAGTCTTTCCTCCTTTTGCATGTTCCTAACAGGCACACATACTTGATGGTGAGGAGGGACCAGATGTTGGAAAATGTAAGAAGAGCTGAAAAGGTTAAGATTACTTACTGTTATAAGTGGTCCAATAATTGATGCTCTTCCGTATGAGTCTGATGCAATCGAGTATAGAGAAATTCCATCTGCCAATTTTTGATCAGAATCCCCAACCTACAGCACGTGCCAGCTCTCAATTAGCAAACATGATCAGATGAATATGTCTATCCCATAAGCCATCTTTATACTAGTAGTTTCCATGTAACCAAACAAAAAATCACAAGAAAATATATTGCCACTGGTGCAATTTGAAATTTTTTTAGAAACCTAATTCTTCCGTCTTTGCAAACTATCACTAAATATCCAGACAGAAAATGGAGAAGACACGTTGCTCGTTCAATTTAATGAAAATGTCAGTTATAGAAGAGAAAGCCTTCTGTTTTAAGCTTGTTGTGCCATTGCTTATGATCTGATCCTAGAAGTAGCTACACATGGTCGGCGAAGAACAGGCAAATAAAAACATACTTACAAGATCAATAACGGCTGGATCTTTTAGATAATTCTGAGTAAGCTTTCTAATCCAACCGGGCATTGTTGCAGAAAACAACAATGTCTGACGTTTCTTTGGCACCCTCTCTAAGATTATCTCTACATCCTCCTGGAATCCCACCTGGAGCATCTGATCAGCTTCATCAAGAACAACAAACTGAACTTCCTCTAAATTCAGGGCTCCCCTGTTGATAAGATCAATTACACGACCAGGCGTGCCAACAGCCACATCAACTCCATAGTCAAGTGCTCTCATTTGACTTGAAATGGGGGTACCACCATAGACACAGATTGTATCCAAACCAGGTGCTGTATCATGGAATTCCTTCTCAACTTGCTTTGCGAGTTCTCTTGTCGGGGCCAAAACCAAAGCCAAAGGATTCTTTCCACGCCTATATATAATCAAACATAAATCAAATACAAACTCTAAAAACCAAAAAGAAAATGCTGCAAGGGGAAATTAGATAGTCATATTGAAAACCCCTATCGGAGCACATTAATAATCTAACTGATGATTGTGATTTGAGAAACAAACCCATGTATGGCATTGTATTTAAAGATTTTATCCAAGATGGGTATCCCAAACGCAAGAGTTTTCCCTGTTCCTGTTCGAGCGCGACCGATCATATCCCGCCCTTGCATTGCTGGTTCTAACACAGCCCTCTACACAAAATCCCCAAACAATGAATTAATACATCGTCCACACACAAATCAACCAACAGATAAACTAAAAAAAAAAATCTTCTTTTTTCAATCATTTTCTCATCAACCAAACAGAGCACAAAATTGGGAAATGATTAATCACCTGTATGGGGAACAGCTTGCTGATACCCTTATTGGCCAAAGCCGACACGATCTCCTTAGCAATCCCTAGCTTCGCGATCTCGAGTCCTTCATCGTCGCCACTCCTTCTGGTCGACTCTTCGGATGAGTACTCAACGGCAAACTGCGCGCCCAGAGGCGTCGACGCCCGAAAACTCAACGGCCCAGATTTCGCGTGCAAGTCCCTCACTTGATACCCGTACGAAGGGCCCAACTTCGTCTTCAGGGCTGAGACGGTGTAGAACCTAGCCTCGCCGCCGACGGCGCCATTTTCAGGAAGCACGAGTTCGGGGGCCGGCGTCCCGAGAAATGAATGGTGGTTGATCAGGAAGGTTTCGATGGCGGCAAAGGTCCGCGCCGTGGCTATAGTAGGCGTACGGCGGAGGATGGTGGTCATCATTTTTTATCCAATTCGAAGGGGTTAAGGGTATCGGAGGAGGAGGGAGAGCGAGAGAGAGAGAGAGAAAAAAAAACCCTAAGATTTGGGGTTTGGGGTTTAGGGTTTAAGTGAGAGGCGAGGAAGTGAGTGAATGAGACCTCTGATGCGAAGCGAAAGGGGGTTTATGGAAACGAAATGAAGGGGATATCTACGGGTTGGGATCCTCTGCGCTCGACCTTGGGACCCACGTTTTACTTTGTAATTTGGGTCTTCATGTTGGGCTAGCTTTACCTTTTGAAGTCTAATTTGGGTTAGATATTGAATTTTGAGGCCCACGTCAATTTTTTGCTAGCCAATTAATTCAAGAGAATTTTAACAAAAAGCTCCCGGTATTGTTTATTTTAACGAAAAATCACATTTTACACTAAAAATTCAATCCTTATACTATTCAATTTACCCTTTATTTTGTCCTTATCGTTAAAACTCAAAGTTTTCAAGTCTTTTTTATTAGTTTTCCTTTAATTCAATATCGTAAGGTTCGAAGAAGTTGTTTTCACATGGAGGCTGGCTCGCCTAAAACGAATCATAATTTTCTTTATTGGTGGTGATCCCTTTTTATCAGTCTCATATGGATGTTACTCACAAAAAAGGTGTGGTTTTAATGCTACGTATCATTCAATGCAACAAGTGTTTTAGCTTTTAAATTGCAACTGTTTAGATGTTTTATTTTCAATTACAATCATTCATTCCCGTATCATTTAATGCTAGTAGTGTCGAAGAAACTTCCCCAAAAAAAATGGAAATGAAAAGTTTGAATATGAGCATATGACTGTGAAGATAATTCAAGTGCAACCAGTTGTATATATTATATAACCATGCATAGGCTTCTATACCACATGACTAGTATATGTGATTGCATCCGTCTCATATTACATATACAATGGAACGGCTCAATGTTACTTTGATGTTAGCATGATTTTGGAGCAAGCTGCTTACAAAATGTCACAAAGAGGTGCAGTCAATGTATGTAGCAAGATGCTTACTTATGAAAAGTAGAACAAAATTATGGATTCATAATTGTAACTAATATGTGTATCATCACATGACTAATCACGCAATGAGACAAGACATGACATCTAATTGTGTACAATATAAAATAACGAAGTTATTCTCCGCATACATATACTCTACGACTAGAATTACAAAGCCCCCATACGAATTGAGTACTACCTACCTAACCAAGCACATTGATAACTTGTAGTGCTTGCAGCATTGCACATACAACAACTCTTAACAAATTAAGTATCAATTCAAATAATCAGCTTGATCAAACGAATGTCTTCATGATATAGAGTATGGCTTTGATGCTACGCATTGTTAACGTTACAAATGGTTTAACCGTTAAATTTAATTTCTACAACTATTTATATATTCTATTTTTAATCACAACTATTCATTTTATATATCATTTAATGTCACGTAGTAGTAAACTAAGTTTGTAAAATCGGCCATTACAGATGTTTAGCCATTAAATTTAATTTCTACAACTATATAGATATTTTATTTTCAATTACAGCTATTCACTTTTATGTATCATTTAATAGTATATTACAGAAAAATCCTTTTACCAAACCAAGTTTGTGAAATCAGGTATCCGTTGAGAATTGCAATATCTCTTATCCAGGTGATGGCGCCACGTGTACAAGCTTTGTTGGGCAGTGAGATCCCAACCTAATCTGAAACCTGAGTCCAGCTCCAATGTCCACCCAAGAACCCAGCGGCACATTGCCCACAAGTTTTGGTTCCATCCTGGCCCACACCAATTCCGTATCTTCCTTATTACATGTAGGAAGTTGTGGTGTGTGAGAGACTGAGCAAAATATTTGAGTGGCCGGAGGAGAGAGAGAGAGAGAGAGAGAGCGCGCGCTAGAGAGAGAAAATGGCAGCACAAGCTCTGGTTTCATCATCTTCTTTAACAGCCTCAAAGGAGGTTGCTAGGCAGATATTTGGAGGAACAAAGGCTGTCCAATCTCCATTTGGATCGAGAAAATCTGCTTCCTTTGTAGTAAGGGCGGCATCTACTCCTCCCGTTAAGGTACGTAGATGTCACTTTTGGTACCGTCACGTGGTGTTACTATTTGGTTTCGGTTAGTGTAAGTCTATGATTTTGTGGTTTGATTTGGGTGCAGCAAGGAGCAGACAGACAGTTGTGGTTTGCTTCCAAGCAGAGCCTTTCTTACTTGGATGGCAGGTACCAATGCTCGACTCACCCTTTAGTATGACTGTAACACCGTCATGACTCATATAGTGTAGTTTGAGTGACGGAACTAGGTTTTTTTTATTTGACTGAGATGAGAACGTAGGAGATGGATTAGGGTTGACAATTAGCAGGAGGATAAGCTTAATTTAACACAGAGAAAAGCAAATTAAAATCTACAAAAATTGGATTGTGCTTCTGGCCAAAATCCGTCACGACACATACTCATTGTTCATCCGCCCATATACGTGACTCACATAATTAGTACTCCTTGAACAAAAACTAGCTGTTTCTAATTGTAAATTCAATTGTGTTTGTATGCATTGTATTTGACTTTATTCCGTGATGACAGAGATAAACATGACGAAATGTATAACATATTATAAGACAAATTTTCTCCCAAAAAGAAATGTAAATTTAAAGCACTGCACTTGGTCATCACCTAAATTAACTTTTGAGAAATGGTTAAATTTAACTTGCAGCCTTCCTGGCGACTTCGGATTCGATCCATTGGGCCTCTCTGACCCAGAAGGCACAGGTGGGTTCATCGAGCCCAGATGGCTAGCCTACGGTGAAGTCATCAACGGACGTTACGCCATGCTGGGTGCAGTTGGTGCAATTGCCCCAGAAATCCTGGGCAAGCTCGGCCTTATCCCGGCCGAGACTGCCCTTCCTTGGTTCCAAACCGGAGTTATCCCGCCAGCCGGGACCTACAACTACTGGGCCGACCCCTACACACTCTTTGTCTTCGAGCTCGCCCTAATGGGCTTCGCCGAGCACCGGAGGTTCCAGGACTGGTACAACCCCGGGTCCATGAGCAAGCAATACTTTTTGGGCCTTGAGAAGTACTTGGGCGGGTCGGGTAACCCAGCTTACCCCGGTGGGCCTTTGTTCAACCCGCTAGGGTTTGGGAAAGACGAGAAGTCGATGAATGAGTTGAAGCTCAAGGAAGTGAAGAATGGGAGGCTTGCCATGCTGGCAATTTTGGGTTATTTTATTCAGGGTCTTGTGACTGGTGTGGGGCCCTACCAGAACCTTCTGGATCACTTGGCTGACCCGGTCAACAACAACATCTTGACCAGCCTCAAGTTCCATTAAGTCTGTACAACTTAATTTGGCCTCTCATTGTGCAAGATTATATGATATAATCTTTGTTGTTTGATCTTGTTTTCTGTGACTCTTTGTAAGAAATGACATGTTAAAAAGAGCTATATTAGAACCCTAATTAATGTTATCAGATTTCATGAATTACAATACAGATGCTCATTAAATTTATATTTTATCGTACTTAATAGATATATTTTTGTTGTAACTTTGAGAACTTTTTAAAACATTTATTCAAACTTTCTTTGCTTATTCATTTTCGAATTTACTAACACATAATTTTGTATCTATAAAGTAACCAAACTCCTGTTGGATAGCCAACAAACTCACTATTACAAGGTTAAGAGCCTTGCTCTCCGCATTTCAGCTAGGAGAACAACTTAAACAGAACAGATTCATCACTATTGTAACGTTCTGTTATATTAAAAATTATATGTGTAAATTTTCTAACACATGACATTATATTGTAGACATCGAAATATCAGTGAAATAAATGTTGACCAATGCATTAAAATTACAACCTTTATTCATTTCACCAACATCATACACTCACTTCACCTACAACCTTCACTCATTTCACCTACAACATCCACTCACTTCACCAAAAATATAGATGGTGGTGATTCATTCCCAAAGCCTATAAATAGGCTTCTCCATCAAGGGATAAGGAAGAACCAAGAGAGATCACACTAAAACCTTGAAGCTTTGAAACTCTAAAGCTCTCAAGCAAATCCCGAAGGATAAAGAAAGCCATCTTCGTTCTTCGTTAAATCCTCATTCAAGATCAAGCCCCAACGGCCCTTGAAGAATTTCCACCAATTCAAAGTCAAGCCCCAACGGCCCATTGAAGAAAGCGTTCATCGTTCATCACCTGTTCATCCTAAGATCAAGCCTCGAATGCCCTGAGATCGACATCACAATCCATAAATCTACACATTACGAAGATGGAATCAGAGGCTAAATTTGTAGAAGAGATTGTAACCCCTAAATCATTAATACAAATATTATTTTGTACACGTGTTTTTGTCTCATTCATCGCAGGAATTTCCGTGTTTACATATATTATTAAAAAAGAACGTCACATGACGATAAACTCGTTCAATGTAAATCATTCTCCTAAGCTCAACATGCATGCATGTTTTGCAAGAACGGGTCGAGATAAAAGACATAAACGTAATTAGTATCATGAGTCAGCTAAAGATAGTATTAGAAATGAAATAAAGGTCGTATCTCGTATGCGACACATCTTTGCTTGAAGTTTAAGTTTCTAACCGTTACTTCCAAAGGTGTAAAAAGCATATCCATGTGTATACATTCCCACCAAATACAGTGGTTGCAACGGTTATTGGCAATATTACATAATCACACCCTAATGGTACAAGATTAAACGATAATGATAAAAACTAAAGTTTGTAACAAGCATATAATAATGACGATAACAATGCAATTCCATAAAGCATAATAATGATTAAACGGAAAAGGCCGTCAATCACAATCACTCTATATTTTTATTTTTGGCAAGGTGATTTTTTATTGTAAATTATTTTAGGTAGACTTTAGATGGGTCTTTAACTATTTACTTTTTAGTTTTTTTATTGAAGTCCTTGACCTTAATTTAATAATGTATTTCTATATATGTTATTATATTTTTAAATTGAAAATTGAAAATGTTTATGTTAATGAAATTTAAATAAAACCAATAAGTTGTGGGATTAAAAATATTAAGGATAAATTATATATACTCTCCAATATATTGTAAGTGTGAGTGTGTGTGTGTGTGTGTGTATATATATTGGTACA